TGTGAAATGCCCCCATGTGTCTGCAACACTCATATTCTCTAATTCACTCGAGTTCGTCATATCGGCCTCTTCAACACTTTCTTCATTCTAATCGTCAAAAGGTATGTCAAGATGTCTGCAGATACAGAAACCAAACCTACTCGAAGGAACGAGTATGCTGCCCGCTTTCGTTGCCGGGTAATCCACTTCTATAACCAAATCTCTCACAAACGGTGTCGTCCAATCGCCATCAACGTAATGTACGGTAGTATGTGCACACGCACGTGCTACAGAAATACCCATTCATATGTCGCCAACCGTGCTCAGCAGCCTTAAGAAAGGTCGAGGCATTCGTCATCCTACACAGTACCGTTCATTACATAAACTTGCACGTGAACATATCTGTGTTGCCAACGGACACGAGGAAGAGACTTTAGAGAAGGAAGACGGATGAAGTGCAAAGGTCGTAGTGTTGCACTGGCTTATGATCAATGATCATCATCCGATTGATCAAATCTCATCCACCGTGCGACAACACTGCCTACTCTGAGAATCAATGCATTCATATTGGAAGAACACGTTTCTTTCTGTTCCTCGCCTCGAGGACAACAATCGAGCTGATAAACTAATCCATGGCTGATGCTAAACACACCCGTAGTCCGGACTATAGTTGCTGATGTCCGGTCCCGGACCCAGCGGACTCGGTCCGGACGCAGGACTGGACCTGAGGACCGGTCCTCTACATCTCGAGTCGACTCTTGCTCGTATTAGGCAGCTTGATATCACGGACCGTCTATCATACGACAAAAACGCACATCCTTTCGCTGGAGGAAGCTACGGCGACATTCGTATAGGTGCATACAATCATCCTGATCGTGGCAAGCTCAAGGTCGCTGTAAAATGTATCCGCATATTCCATGCACAAAATCCTGGGATCACGAAGGTAGCCTTCTCATTTGAGATCATCGTAACACAACACCGGCATGCTTACTTCCACTTCCGATAAGCTAATCAAGCGAGAAGTACAAGTATGGTCAAGTCTGGATCACGCTAACATCCTTCCACTTCTTGGATACATCTTGGAGGAGAAGAACTTCCCGACACTCGTATCTGAATTTATGGAAAACGGAACTGCGCTACGGTACGTTTTGCAGCATCCTGAGCTCGATGCTATTGGACTTGTAAGTGGCCCTGGATTTAGCATGCTAAGGTTCTTGTTATAAGCTGTCTAACTGTGTTGCAATTAGATCCTCTATTCGACACGCTGCGTTTTACGTCTCATTTACTAGTATAGCACAATGTATCTAGTATATAAGGGCGCGCATATATGCACATATACCTATGTACCATTCCAAAACTCTCTGTTCCAACAGGTTATGAGCCTTGCTGGCTTGTGAATAGCACCATCAACACGAACAACACCACAAACGCCACCTCTACCTCAGACATCTACCCCCCCTCCTAGTAATAGTGCTCCACCTACAAACACAACACCTCTAACAATGGCACAATCTATGTTAACATTCGAGTCTCCAAAGATCAATAACAATCAACTTGCTACATTCTTTAAAGACACAGAGAAGCTTACAGGTGTAAAGAACTATAAGATATGGCAACTACACATTACAAATGCACTAGCAGTAATGCTGCTCAGTAACCATCTTACAAACAATCCCCCTAGCACAGATGCAGACAGTATACACACAGGGAAACTATTGTATCATTTTATAACAAAGACAATATCAGATACAGTGTATACTAACATTACAACATACAAAACAACAAAAGACCTCATACAGGCACTAGCTGATTAATATGATGTGCAAACCATGTTGACTCACACAGTTGATATTGTTAGGAACACATTATTCAGTATATATAGTGTGGACCAGGTATCAAGCCAAGCTTGACATTGTACCCTTTTGTGTGAAGAGGTTCTATGTATGGTCTACTATATATAGTAATCCCTCACATAATGTCAAGCTTAGAGTAGTCAGGAGTTCAATTCCAGTATAGGGCTGGTAGGCTAAAGGTATTAGGCTGGGAATAAGTTTCCTAATTGAGTAGCAGATTGGTTATAGAAATGAATTTCCTGGTTGCTTAGAATACTATGCCCAGTTTCTATATTAGGAAGCCTCTGTTGAATGCCTACAGGACTGTTAAGGTTAAGCCAGAAATAGTAACTCTTAGAGTTAAGCTCTATATACTGAGCACATAAGAACATGTGTCTTAAGAGGAGGGTAATATTAGGAACACATTATTCAGTATATATAGTGTGGACCAAGTGTTGAGCCAAGCTTAACATTACACCCTTTTAGTGAAGAGGTTTTATGTATAGTCTACTATATATGATAATCCCTCACAAATATATTAGTACTGTTCACAGTTAGAGGACACATTTTACAGTTTGACAAGATGCTAGACCAAATAGAACAAGTCTATGTGTAACTGGTAGCTTACAGTAAAGTACTAGATAATAATACTTATGTCTTAGTAATAAATCTTACTACTCTAAGAGAGTACAAGTAGGTTGTAACAATGATTAATAGACAGAACATGTATTATAATAGTCTACCTACAGTTACTACAGCTCAGTATTAAGTGTTCACACTAGCAAAATTAATTCATGAATTATACAATATATTTACTAAGTGGCAAACAAAGAACTACTAGAATAAACACAGTATACTAAATAATAATAATAAAATAACAAATAATCATCCTCTATCCCTAGGGCCTACACAAGGACAAACAAGAGAACAAGAACATAGTAGAGGCAATATAAAGCTTTACAAAACAACAAAATGTTACAATTTAACAAATATAAACATATGTTCAAAGAATACTATAGTTTAGTAATAAACACTATAAAGGAAGCACAAAAAAAGTAAACAATAATAATGACAAATGTATCCACATTACAACAAATTACAGCTTAAACAATGAGTGCTACACTTACAGACCTAGTAGTGTTTATTAATAAAGTAAACAAAATACTAATGCTAGACAATGTAAACAACAAACAAATGCAAGAAATACATAGGGAATTCATGCTTGACAAATTCCTTAACAACTACAATACAAACATATGTATTAACACATTTAATCATGAAACAACAAAACTTACACATTATATTAACATACTTGATTCAGGTACTAATATTCATTCTACACCCTATCTCTTTCAATTAACAAACATACAATATATGAACCCTATAAACATTACAATTGTAAACAAAACAATAATCATACTCAGACAAAGTAGAGTGATAATAATTAGAATACAACAAGATGCAAACAATGAACACAGAATGAACAAAACAAATGTAAGTAGTATTATACTACATAATGTATACTATCATCCCAATCTAAACTTCACATTAATCAGTAAAGTATTACTATATGAAGCAGGACACAAATTAGTAAAAACAAATAATACATGTACTATCTATTCACCTACAAATAAAAAGATTAGAGAAATACAAGTATATAATAAGTTATATATAATAATTGTTACAGTTCTCTACTCTTGTACCTTCAGTTCTGAGGGTTCTACACCCTTCTGTACTAGAACTCAGGACTTCTGTCCCTCAGGAGCACTGTCTATAGACTATATGTATGCTGACTCTTACTACTACCCCTCCTTACTTTATCATTCTATTCCTTTGACCACCCTTTCATTCTTTGTTCATTCTATAGTCTCTTACCCTTTGTCCATCCCTTCATTCTTTGTACCTTTATCTTTGACCTTCCTTTCTTTCATTCTTTATAGCTTATCATTCTTAGTAGCTCATACTCTCTGAGTACTCTTGTATAGTTTAGTATATATAGGTATACAAGATCAGACTAGTTCTGTAGTCTTGATCTTATCTACCCTAGGTAGTCCTGTACTCTTAGGCTCACTCTATATACTCTACTCTTGTCTCACTCTCTCTCTCTGTCCATTCTGTGAGTTCTGACTACATTCTAGTTCTTACATTCTGTATTTCTGTTGTGTAGGATAGTTGTAGCCTAGGTCCCCTTACTAAGCCTTTAGGTCCCCTCTACACTGTTGCTGACATCAGATCAAGACTACCTATTACTACCTTATAACTCTCTTATGTTTTAGGCATTAGTACTTACTATTGTATTAATCTCTTTTCTTTGTCCTAACCCTTTTACATTTTTAAATTTTAAACTTTCCAAACCCTTTTAAACTTTTGCCACCCTTCTTCTATTCATTACCCCTTTTAGTTTAGTACCAATTCCTTTGTAGTGTAAACATAGACCCTCCTATACTAACTGTCACCCCTACTGTCCTACCAGATTAGTAGTTACAAGCAGACCTAGCTTAATATGTGTAGATCTCTATCTAAGAGGCCTTTACTAACTATGTGCCTCCAGCCCTCTTAGAATCTGTTCCAATTGTTCCAGAAGTTACAACCTGTTCTAGAAAGAAAGTACATGTAGCCTACCCTTTAGACTTTAATAAGTAACACTTTAAGGACTTCTAACACTAAGTCAAACTATATGTAGCTACTACTTTGACTGATCTATCCTCAGATCTTGATTGTATCCTATTTGTCCTCTCCTTCATAAAGGAAGGCAACACAGCCACCTAGGCCCAGAACTGGATTGAAGGCTATTAGATTAGAAGCCTGATCTGACTTTAGAACAATGAGTCATATTCAGAATTTATAAGGCAGCTCTATACTTCCTTCATTAATTCAAATAAGAAGTACAATACACAGAACAAGCTTGTGTCTCTGTGACAGGGCAAACATTCTACTAATGCCTTCTTTCAGGAGTTTAATATCCTGGCCTAGAAGGTAGGATTTATACTCAGATTCAATAATGTCCTTATTAGAATACTTGAGAAGGCTCTTCACCTAGAACTGGTTAATAACATTCTTAGAATAATACTAGAACTGATTACTTACACTAAGTAGAAGATGTGTACTATTTCCTTCAACCAAGCTACAGCTCAGATGTATCAAGTCTGTATAGAATGCCTGTACATGTGTCCAGCTCTAACAGTTCTAAGCCTTCAGATCAATCTGTCTATGATTTGTAATTAATCTGTTCTGATAAACATTAGAGAAGCCTGAAAGTAAGGAGTATACTTTACCTACAGAAAGTTAGAGTACTAAATTAAGGACTGCCTACAGAAGTAATAGTATATCTGTCAGGTCATTAGAGCAATAATGAGTAACAAGTAGGATTTATAGTAAGAAGCCTTTTCTACAAATCCAGAAGTCACCTCAGAACTCTTAGACCCTGACTATGTACTCTAGGATTTTGTAAAGGCCTAACAGTAAATATAGTACTGAAGGGCTATGACTCAGATTTTTTAACAGCCACTTTTGATTCAATAGACACTGTAGGATTAGAAGTAAATAAAGTAAGAAAAGTAGAAAAAGTAGAAAAAGTAAATACAAACAAAATTATTT